CATCTCTTGGGTTACCCCATCCTTACCCCTATGTGTGGTCTCTGTTCCTGCTGAACGAAACTGGCCGCGCTTGCTCTCGCCATGGAAGCTCTTTCCTTTCCTCTTTTCCTAGCCAACCACCAGTGTTCCATTCATATGAAACCTCCTCCAGGCAGCCTTCCCTGACTGCTCAGGACCCATCAGGTGCCCGTGTGCCTCCACAGCAGCCTCCGCTCACCCCTTTGTGCATGCATCATACTAGGTTTAACTTCCTATTGCCTGTGTGTCTTCCCCGACTCACATTGGTCCGGGAAGAGCCAGGATTGGTATTGTCGGCTTTCAGGTTAACACCCTGACACACCAGACAGTGCCGGGCACAGGTTTGAGCAAGAGAGAGAGGGGTAGAAATGACGTACTTGGTCACAGTAGAAACTAACATATACAGTGTGTGGTGGTTACAGTTTGAAGTACATTCAGATGCGTTGCCTTACTGAACCCTCGCAGCAGCCCTGGGAAGCGGTGGTCAGGGTGCCCGCACTGACCTGCAGGGACAGCCCAGCGCACGCCCGGGTACAGCCAGGACCTGAGCTTCGGTCTTCCGACCCAGATCCAGTGCTCTCATAGCCTGAGACTCTGCCAGGGCCAGTCTGTGAAACGGGTCTTAGCATCCGCCACCAAAGCTGTCCTGCTTGTCCTGACCAACTAGATCAGAGGAGGAAGGGACAGACTGTAACTTCCGCCCACTCCTTCGCAGCATCCTCCCCGCGTGCTCCCAGCCAAAGCCTGGCACCGACTCTCGCCATGGAAGCCACGGGTGGGTCCTCTCTGGTTTTCAGGGTGTTGGCAGGCGAGCCTTGCATAGTCAACCAGGTTGGCGGCTGCCCTCCCTTTCCGGGGCAGAGCGGCTGGAAAAGCGGAGAACCGTGGCTGTTCAGGGCAGGTCCCTGAGCAAACTGAGGAAGTGAGGTCACGGAGCGTCAGGGTCAGAGGTGGGAGGTGTGTGCCGGGCACTGAAGAGGTGAGCGGGCCTGGCTGCTTGGCCAGTCAGAGGCCGGGGGGAGGTGCTGGCCAGCGGGGCTGCGTCATTAGACACTCCACCAGATGTTAACGGTCTGGGGCGTCCTCACGGCCCTGGGGGGGCTGGAAGCGCGGGAGCCAGCGGCACCTTTGGACACAGCTGGTGCAAACGACATGTGGACGGCAGGCCTGCGTCATTCCACAAGCAGGTGGCCCGAGGAACAGAGTCTCCTCAGAGGAGGGGGAGAGAGGTTGGGGGCAGCGTTTCCTGAACTTAAAAAATTCAGAGTTTAGCCCTGGCCGGTGTGGCTCAGCAGCTGGAGTGTCGGCCGGTGGACCAGAGAGAGTCTCGGGTTCGGTTCCTGCTAAGGGCACGTACCTCGGTGGCAGTTCGTCCCCAGTCCCGGTTGGGGTCGTGTGGGTCACCAGGAGTCGATGTCTCTCTCTCACATCGATGTTTCTCTCTCTCGTCCTCTCTCCCCCTCCCACTCCATCTGAAGATGAATGCAAAAATGTCCTCGGGTGAGGGCCAGTCTGTGAAACGGGTCTTAGCATCCACCACCAAAGCTGTCCTGCTTGTCCTGACCAACTAGATCAGAGTTGAATGCTTAGCTGTGCTCTGTCCTAGTTGCTCCTGGCAGTGTTGGTGAAGGGAGGAGTTTTCAAGGAGAGAGAAATTATGCCTCCACAGCTAGGTTAGACGTAGGCAGACCAAGGCCCTGAGTCCTCCAGGAACGAGCGTCCGTCGTCTGCACCTGGTTGTTCACAGCTGGAAGATGTGCCAGCGTTGGTTCCGGTTTTACCGGGCGGGGCGGGGGAGATGGGGATAGACTGGAGGTGCCCGTGTGCTGAAGAGATGAGCGCAACGCAGGGAGGCCGGCGCAGGCTCGTGTGGCGGCTCACGCATTCACGCGACGTCGCCTTCGTAAGCACGCGCTGTGTGCCACACGCTGGTTAGCACGAGGTGGTGGCAGTATGAAAAGCACAGGCAGATCTCTGCGGTCCCGGGACCTCCGAAAGTGCGCAGAAAGGCAGTCCAGGGAAGAACCGGGGGTGCGCTGAGGGGCCTTCCCTCGGCGGTCTGCCGACAGCTACAGGATGCGGAGGACAGTCAGGAGGGGTGGGGGCGCCACGCATGGGCAGTAGCACCTGGAAAGGCCCTGGAGGGGGGATGCGTTCGGCCTCTGAGGATTGGGAAGGCAGGTGTGGCCCAGCATTGGGAGCAGCAAGCAGGTGCGACCCTCACAGGCCGCCGTCGGCCCTTCTCTGCCCTGGAAGGTGTGCAGCTCAGAAGGCCGAGGAAGCTCTTGTAGCCCCTGTAGGTGCCCCAGCGCAGGGCACTCCTGGCTCTCCGGAGAGCCCTCGTCCCCAACGCCGCCCCTTGCCTCTTCCTGTTAGTGCCGTCTGTGGAGGGGAATAGACGCACGTGGGGTGGAAGCAGATCTCAGTGAACGTGTAACCGGGTAAGGCGGGTTCCGGAAAGCTTGAAAACATGCCCCAGGGCTGTGAGATGAACTGGCTGTAAGACAGACGCCCTGGCCTGGCCTGCGCGCTGGGGGTCACGCCTGCAGTCTTGTGAGCTAAAGAACGGGGGTGAGCCCTGGCCGGTTTGGCTCAGTGGTGAGAGCATTGGCCCTCGGACCCAAGGGTCATGGGTTCAATCCCAGGTCAAGGGCATGTACCTGGGTTGCAGGTTCAATCCCCGGTCCTGGTCGGGGTCGTGCGGGAGGCAGCCAATGGATGTGTTCCTCTCACATCGATGTTTCTCTCTGTTTCTTCCTCCTTCCCTTCCACTCCATCTAAAAAAATCAATGGAAAAATATCCTCAGGTGAGAATTAGCCGAAAGAAAAAAGAACTGGTGGTGAGCATGAGGGAGTAGTAGAATTAGGAATAAAAATCTTGGTTTATGCCAAAAAGGGAAACCTGCATTCTTGGGCCCCAGAGTTCGGCGGGGGGCATCCACCGAGTGAAGGGTCTGCTTCCTCGGGGCTGTCTCCAGGCTCTGTGAGGTCAGGGCCCCTTGAGTTGGGGATGCAAAGGGACCAGCACGGTGGCCTCACGCTGGCGTCCTGCTGCAGAGCCCGTGTCCCTGGGGCCTCTGTGCTGACACAGGACACTGGGGACAGGCCCCTAGCCAGCACATCCCCTCACCCTGCAGGCTCCGTCACAACCTTTCCCTCCATTTGAGAAGACATGAACTTGGGACTTAGGAGGAAGAGAGTGCTTCACGTTGTGTAAACACTGTGGTTAGAAGGATCACTTCCTAATCTTTACTACCTGTAGGGACAGGTGATGCAGAGACTGCTGGCAGCCAGGCTGTTTTCTCAGGGCTCCGTGTTATGCAATAGAGCAGAGGATCTTTGAAGCTGCAGGAGGCCAGGGCAGCTTGTCCACAGGTGTGTGACGCAGGAGTCTCCCAGCTAAGATCTTTCTTGTTTGAGTGTTGTTAGAAATGTCTGTGCCCTCATTTTGCTGGAGCTCTGGGGTGCATTGTTATCCAGTCTGTAGTTAAGGTAAGCAATTTAAAAAAGGAGGGGGAGGGGGCCTCTACTGCCCTGGCCAGGTGGCTCAGTTGGTAGGAGCATCATCCTGTACAGCAAAAAGGTTGTGGGTTCAGTTTCCGATCAGGGCATGTTTGGGGGGCAACTGATCAAGGTTTCTCTCTCTCTCTCTCTCTCTCTCTCCCCCTCTTCCTTTCTCTAAAATCAATAAAAATAATATATCCTCAGGTGAGGATTTTAAAAATTACAAATGGAGCCTGCTTTCAGTTCTCCTGTGATGCCAGCGAAGTCGGTCCACAGCTGTTTGTGGACAGTGTTGTGCTAACCTGTAACCTTGTGCTCACACCTGCGGGGCGGAAGCAAACGAGGGCGTCCTGTGTTCTCCAGTTGTGGAGTGGAGGTAGACAGTGATTAACAGGTCCTGGGGACCAGGCTGTGCTGAGCTTGCGTCTGGGACGGTGACCAGACAGATGAAAGGAGAAGTGGAGGATATTTTTAGCACGACAGGGCTGCTCTGAAACATTGGGTTTTTCCCCAACCCAGTGATTCCAGCAGGGAGATGCGGCTGTACGTTCACTTGCTCTGGTTCGGTGTGGAAACTTCTTCTGCATATACTTCAGAATATTCATGGGACGGGGGGTTGCCGAGAGAGGGCCCTGTGTCCTGTGGTGGCCGGGGACCAGCCCTGTCCCTCAGGCCGGTTTCCCTGGAAATCAGGGCTGGAGGACATAATTCACGCTTTCTGTTTTCCTGTAGCTGATTCAAGCACGTGTTAAAGTTCTGTTGCTAAGAACAGTGTGATCTGTACGGTTAGGTTCTTACAATTTTTGGTGTGCCAATTTTAACCACTACCAATGTTAAATCAGCTACACATTTCGGTGAGGCTATAAATTGAGAACAGTTTTAGAGAAGTGATAAAAGGAAGGGGGATCTGTCTGGGACGTATCAGCTGTCTCTAGATTCACCTTTTCAGGCTGCGGGGAAGTATTAAGTCACTTTCCACACAAGGGTTTTGACCCCTCTGGTGAACTTCTGCTTGGCTGGGCACTGTGCTCGAGGGCCCTCCTGTGCCTGCTGGCCATCCAAGCAAGTGGTGCCAAGCACATGGTGTGTGGACAGAGTGCTGGGGTAGGGTGGGGAGGCCAGACTCTTGTTTCTTCCCTGCAACTCCCCCCCACCACACCCACGGCCTGAGTGCCTGTGACTGGGGCGGGTGACGGGGCCCCTGTGGCGATGAGGCGCCATGGGGCACACAGGCTCTGAAGTCGGGATGCCTGGGTCTGAGTCCCAGCCCGGCCTCTCGCTCACTGTGTGACTCTGGGCGCATTAAAGCTACTTACAGCCTTTGTGCCTCAGTCTCCTCATCCATACAATGGGAACAGCCGCAGTCCCTACGTCACAGGGTTGCTCCATGTGCAGTGCCCGCAGGGTGACTGGTCCTGCCTGGGTGAATCAGCCTGCGTTCCAGGTGACAGTCTGTTACTCTCTCTCCTCCCGCGTAGGCGGCTTGGCCTCTGAGGGGCGAACACGAAACGGCCCACACGTTCACAGGAAGCCGGTCAGAGTGCATGGACGGCCCAGGGGAGCCCGAGGGTCCGGATGGGTTCTCAGGCCCTTCCAGCTGTGGAGAGGAGCCCGGCACATCTCCCGAAGCTCCCGCAGCCGTCCCGGCCTCGGCAGAGGAAGCGCCGCTCTCGGCCCCGGAGGACATGTGCCCAGCATCTCCCGGACGACCGCACAGTGGACACCGCACCGTCTCAGGTAGGCAGCTGGCTTGCTGAGGTCCCCAGGCAGCGTGCACCAGTTTTCCCGCACCTCTGGGGTCCCTGTCCGACTCCTGGGGCCAGACTCTTTACCAACTGCTTCTCCTCGGCGAAAACTTTCATTGAAACTTTAGCTCTTGCCCCGCATGGGTTCAGACTCAGCACATTTGTTGAGGGCTCAGCTGGCTGCCTTGCGACGGTCCCGTGAGAGAGAAGAACACCAGCCTTCATGCTGCTCCCCACGCGTTGTCTATTTCACACCTTCAGTGGGAGAAAAGTACGTTTGTGGGGACAGCTTGAGTCTGCTTCTCGGAATTTACTCCGTGGTCCTGCCTTACCTGGTGGAGAAGCCCGTTCTCTTAGGTTTGTGTGGCTCATCCGATCTTCCAGAGAATTACACCTTTACAGGCTGCCTCTGGGGACTGGCAAGGGCATCTCCGAATCTAGGGGCCAGGCGGTGAGCAGTCTGAGAATGGAGAGCCAGGGGGAGGGCAGCGCAGGCGGTGCTGATTGTCTTGCAAGTCGCAAGCCTGAAATTTTGTCAGATCTCTGTGGGTTAAGAGGGAACCCCCCTGAATAGACAGAATGCCTTTTACATTGACTTCACAGTGAACTAAACTGTGAGAATGGTAAATATTCTTTATCACTTTTTGTTAGTCCAAAAAGTCTGGAAAAGGCCAGCCACTTATAGTGGTCGAAACCCTGTTCCCAGTTTTTTGCCAACCTGCGAATGCTTTCCCTGCCCCTGGTGCAGCTGGCTGCTGGACCAGCTGTGTGAGGCTGCCACCTTGTGGCCAGTACAGGCAGTGCACGTGTCACCTGTTGCTGGATCCTCTGTGAGATAGATTATTTTTAAAGGTCTTTTACCAAGACTTTTCTCAGTCACTCTCTCGCTGCACATACAATTCCACCTCCGGGGATTTGGCATCTTTCTGATCTGTACTTTGCCTTCCTTTGACTCCAGAGTCACTACCTTTCAGTAAGCTTTTCTACTCAGCCTCCAGACTGACCTTTCTAAAACATAAATCTGACTGTCTTTCCTGACGCACAGACCTTGAGTGGCTCTTCCTTTTCCAGGTTCCGGTGCCTCGCAGAAGATCCCGGGGCCGGCTCCTCGCCCTGTGTCTTTGCAGGTGCTCGTCTTGCTTCCTCATCGGTTCCCTGCTGACATCGCCTCATTCTCTGATTCTCCGCAGGTATCACCTCAGCAATCCCTCTGCGTTAAATTATAATACAATGTAATGTGATATGATATGATATAATTAATATGATATGATATAACATGCGAGGTAGGAAACGAGGGAACTTGACCTACCACATTATAACCAGGCCTTTTCTTCCTCTCCCGTAAGACATAAGCAGCTTGAGAGTAGAGATTTTTATCTGCGCCAGTGTCCGGCGTAGAACTGTTGCTCATTAATTATCGGAAGGAATAAAGGGAAGGAGAAGAAAACCAGGCCAAGACCCGCGTCCCCAGGTGCCCCTCTGAGGTGTGATGGGGCTCAGCAAAGAGCCACGTTCGAGTCCAGGGGTCCTGGCGGGAAGGCGCTGCGTGTCCGGCGGGTGGTAGGACGCTCTTGGTAAACGGTGGTACTAACCTCCCCTTTGTGCTATTGTTGCCATTCAGCCACCCTGCTGGCAGAGTAATCTTTTTAAAAGATGCTTCAAGCAGACCACTTCCTTACTCAGAACTCTCATAGAACAGTTCCAAATTCTCTGGCCTGGCACTTCACACCGCCACACCCTGACACAAGCCGTCTGGATTTCACACCACGTTTTAGTTTAAATCCTCTCCCAAGGATACTTTTCCATTCACCCTCAGACAGAGAGAGAGACACATCGATCGGTTGCCTCCCTCGTGACCCCAACCAGGGCTGGGGACTGAACCACAACCAAGGCACGCGCCCTTGACCGGAACCAAACCATGACCCTTTGTTCCTCAGGCCGCTGCTTCAGCCGCTGAGCCGAGCCGGCCTGGGCCACACCACTGTTTATATGCGACCTAAGTAAACAAGACTTTTTCCTTCTGGCGCTGCCTTGACCTGGCTCTGAGCTGCTGATCCTTGGGGTCCATTCAGTTCTGTCCTGTCCCTTTACCCTCGTGACTGGTAGTGACCCGGAAGGTGGCAGCACCCACGCAGCAGGTGGCCTCCAGAGCTGAGTCACTGCCCTGGGAACGGTGCCTGGTGAGGCTGGCTCAGGCAGACGGGGACTCTCCACCTCGCCTGGCTCTGGCCGGGCCCTCGGCACCACGGTGAGAGCAAAGGATCGGAGTGTCCAGAGTGTCACCAAGCAGAGAAGGAAGTGAAATAAAGCATTTGAAGAACCGAAAAGGAAGTGCTCCCAATGGTTGTCTCTGGCTGGTGTCCGGCAGAGCACTTTTTCTTGCAATTACAGTGTGGTCCATGGTGGTTTTACTTAAACCACCCGAGCTGTCCATGTAGCGAGGTCTTTAAAAATGGCACCAAGAGGATTTTGAAGCGGTGAAGGTTCTGTTTGACCTGTGAATTAAGAGAGCTCAAGCAATAAAATAATACGGAGTGATGCCAAGCTGTTGATAGTCTAGGAAAGGAGCAAATGAAGTCGAGGGTTTTTTTGGTTTTTATTATCCACAGGTACTCTGATGGATGTTGTTCTTTAAAAATAACGATGCTTTCATTTCATTTCCAGAGAAGATAGTGTTGCTTTTGAAAGGAGATTTAAAAAAAAAAAAGTCTGGCTTCTTTACTACCCCAGTGAATAGAGAAGGCCTCCGTGCAGAAAACAAACGGGCCCTCGGCCCTGGCCTCGCCCGCACACAGGCCTTTGTCACGGAGCAAAAGAAATGCAAGTCTGACCAGCAAGTATTTCAGCTGATCACGTCCCCCACCCCCACCCCCCAAAACAATGAAGAGCTCTCTGCATTTTTGAACAATACCTCTTAGGAAATACCACCAGCTCACTCGGGTCCTATATGGCCGTAAAACATCTGGTGACAACTAGTCAGCTACACGGATGCCGGACGTGGCCGGTTACACGTGAGCCCTCGGAATTGGGGATGGTAGAATCCCAGCTCTTGCTTTTTTGAGCATGGAATATTTTAACTTAAAAGATTAATTTTTCTTTGTTTTACTTTACATATTAGGTACCCAGTTAGTTCTAAATAGTGAAGTGCCCCTGAAGACACAAACCCAGTTGTTTTCTGGGGAGAACTGTCCTGAGCCCTGGGTGTGTGCGTGTGTCCTGTGACCACCCCGGGCCCAGAGGCGTTCGCATGACGTCCAGGGAGCTCTTGGTGGTCACCTATGTTATGAACTGTGACCGGAAGTTGTCCTTTATTTTCCCATCTACGTTTCATGAGTACTGTACGTATAAAGTTAGCCACGCAAAAATATGGGGGGGGCGGGTGTCAAAATGTTCCCCAGTTTTCACGAGGCGTAAGAACTGAGGCAGATTCTAGGAGCAGCCAGACCACACCCTGCGCCCTCCATCTCTCGTGCCCTCAGATCAATAAAGACGCTGGAAATGGCTCCGGCAGTCCGGGCCCAGTGGATTCTCGAACCCCTGCCACTCAAAGGGCGTGCAGTTTGGGGCGAGAGGATTTCTCAGAGTGGAGCTTTGTTCTTTGCCTTTGGACTTGTGCAGGGCAGGAAGACTGGCCTGCTTTTGGATAGAAGTTGCAAAGAAGTCCATCCCGGTGACCCTGCAGAAAGACGGATGCGCGTTCGGCCGCGCGCGCCCAGCCTCGGTGAGGGTGCGTTCGCGGTGCAGTGTGCGGCACTCGACCTGCGGCCGGGGGCCCTGAGCAGCGTGCAGGTGCGGAGGGGTTAACCAGGCAGAGGCGTCGGGGAGAGTTCCCGCCTAGGCACGGTTTGTTTATCCTGTCCTCTGAAGTCAGAGCCAACATTCTTAATGGTTTTGAATGACTCAGAATGTTTCTCTCCTGGCACGGTCACTTTCCACACTTGGGCTGTGACTAGAACTCCCTAGGTGAGGTCCAGAGCAGAAAGCAGCCTGTCAATTCATGTCATGTTTTAGAATCGTCTTATTTCAGAGCAAAGGCAGAACTGGGACACACAGCGTGCTTGTTCCCGAGATGCGGAGGCGGAAGCTGGGGCTCTGGCCACACAGCCCTTGGAGGACCGTCCAGGGTCCCCTTGGCCTCCCAGCCTGGAGAGCCCACTTGCCCTTGAGGAAGGTTTAGAGAATGACGCAGGCCCTGGCCAGTGTGCTCAGAGGTTAGACCGTCGGCCTTCACACCAAAGGGTGGTGAGTCTGATTCCGGCCAAGGAACATACCTGGGTTTCAGGTTTGATCCCCGGTTCAGTTGGGGTGCATATGGGAGGCAAGCAGTTGATGTGTCTCTCACATCAATGTTTCTCTCTCCCTCCCTCCCTCCCTCCTTCTTCCCCTTCCCTTCCACTCTCTCTAAAAGTCAATGGAAAAGGTACCCTCGGGTGAGGATTAACCAGAACAAAAGAAAAATAAAATTACTTAGGTCAGAAAGGAGAACCTCATTTTTACAAAATGAAACAAACCAGTTCTTTATTTGTGTAGCTTCCTCCCAATCTCCCTTGTCAATGTGTGTCTGTTAGCTCCTGGGCAGAAATAAGAATAATAACATCTCCATCTATGCCAAAATAGGAGATTTGATACACCTCTCTTTCTTTTTCTTTTCTTTTTTTTTCTGGATGCGAATTATGCCACAGGAGTTCTTAATAAAACAAACTTTGCGTCCTTCCCACAGGAGAAAGAATCGAGCTGTGTTCTAAGAACACGCTGTACTCTGGGCACTGAGTAAATGTAATCTTTAGAAGATGCTCTGGGAGCTTGAAAGTGCCTCTTGGTAAGAGAGGAACGGGATTGGGGGAAGGTCGGGGCAGGGACGCTGGGCAGGGCCTGGGGGACAGCCGGTGCCTCTCCTTTTCCTGCCTGGCTGAGGCCCACGGGAAAGGACTCGTTTCTCTGGAAACCCAGGTGTGAACCTGTGACCCCTGCTGGGCCCACCCAACACAGCCGTGATGGTCCTCCAGACCCCACGCCTCCTGTCCACAGCGGCCAGAGGAAAGCCCACGCAGGTCACACGGCCCAAGCCAGCCCTCCTCCGGCCGCTGGAGAATGATGTTGCCTTTGTTGGTCTAAGAACAACAACCTGCAGGAAGAAATGAGATACTTCGCCTAAGGAGGAAAAGCCGCCTGAGAGGATTCCCAGAGTCCTGCTCTCCTCCTTCCCGGTGCCCGTCAGTAACTGTCTTGTCGCTTTGCTACGTTGATGGCACAGTTGTTGCAGAGTGTGTTTCCCCCCAAGAATGTTAGTATCAAGTTAAGCATCTCCAGCCTGATCTTGAACTGTTCCTCGGTCCCGGTAATAACCAGGTGCCGTTTACCCTGGTCCCCGCCCACGTGGAGGACAGTCACCTGTGTTTACCTGGCAGCCTGGTTTCGGAGGTAAATAGCAGTGTTCCCCCGTCACCCACACTGTCCTCTCTAAGCAGTCCGTTTATTAGGGAGAGCTGGATGTTTGGCTGCATCCAGGTGTCTCCCCAGGAGGCGGCCGTGTCCCCATGTGTCACGAGTGGGCGCACCTTGGCTGTGGCTGGCGAGATGGAGCGGCCTGGGGCGGGGTGGGGGTCTCCCTTAAACCTGCCTTCGCTTTGAGAAAATGCCTGCTTTGTTACATTTGTGTGTACTTAAAATTTTATAATCTAGCAAATGTTTCAAATTTAAGCCATGGGTAAAATTTTCCTAACAGAAAATTACACAAAAAGCTGGGAATAGAAAACGTGTGTTGTTTTCGTCTTCAGGTTTTAATTTGCGTCGGAGCAGGACGCCCCGTCGCCCAGCTTGGCCGTTCCTTTCCCGGGCGATGCCCGCTAGCAGCCTTCCCGGGAGGTGGGCGTGAGGGGGGCGTGAGGGGGTGCTGGAGGCCCCGCGCCCTGCTGCTCAGGCGGGGTTCCTGTGCCCGCACCAGGAAGTGTCTTCAGGCCCGGGCAGCTCGGGGGCCAGTCCTGCCGTGTTTCTCCACCAGCGAGCGTGCAGGTCAGCACCCTGCGTCACGCGCGGCCGCCTGGGCCTTCTGAAGGTGTGGGGGCCTGGGGCTGGGACTCAGCCTGAGCGGAAGGGCGCTCACAGGGGTCGCTGCACCTTCCCATCAGGCTCAGGCACGTGGATCTTGTGTACCCTGTTCCTAAGGCGCCGACCGGAGTCTGGGGCCTCA